ACATAAATGAACAATAGTGTCCTGCACCCACTAGTAAAAAATATCAAATTATATCTGGTGTCTGAATAATTGACTTTTGACACAATTTTGTATGTATTTGTCGGTAGAAGAGCAAGAAGAGGCAAATTCGGTGTTCAAGCGCTTTGAGACGCGCCCCTCTGCGTGCGCCCTGTGCACACAGAACACTGCGCGGGTGCTGAATTGGGCTCTTTCACAACTTTTTCTGTTTGCATGTTTAAGCTGCGATTTGTATTTGTTCGTTCAGGTGTAGGAGGACGCGAAGGAGAGCTCGTTTCGGTGTTGCGGTCCCTGAGACACGGCTCTCTGCGTGCGCACCGAACACGGCGCGCGAGTACTCGGTTGTGTTTTTCCACATCTTGTGTTTGAATGTTTAAATTGGCAAGGCTTAAAAACAGTGCAAATGATAAGCTTTCGTGACGATGCGCAGCAGTGGCCCGTCAACTGTCCTGAGCGTCTTTTTTGGCTGGCCTCAGCCAGTCAGTTGAGATCGCCGGGGGGCCCCCCCTCAGTCATGGGCCCCTATAATCGTCACCACCTTTCACCCCACTAGCGACGGCCCTGAACTTGTGCATTTTTATAATAAAAAAAAAAACTTTGTGCATTTTTATAATAAAAAAAAAAACTTTTTTATACCAGTTTTACAATTGAGGAAGTCCCCAAAAAGTTTTTTTTTGGAGATTTGGTCAAGTTTAGCTCACTTTTAAGAACAAATGTCTCCAAAATATGGTTAAGTAGGTACACACATGTTGGGTTTCCATGTTTTATGGGGACATTCCTTAGTTTGTACATTTATAAAAACAATTTCATCTATGTTTTCTATTCCCCTACTCTAACCCTACCCCTAAAAACCTACTCCTCACACAAAACTTAATGCAGTTTTAGATTTAAAAAATAAAAAATTTCCTATCCTTTGGTCCCCATAATTTAGAGAACATCAGGTACACTCACCAGACTGATTCTCATATATCAACATACATTTACTCTGTTTATATGCAATCCAGATAATGACATCACATGGACATGTCAAAAACAAAATCTTGTGCATATAAAACACTTCCTGTTTTAGTAAATTCTAAACTAAGTATTTGTAAACCACTGTGTATGTATGTGTGTGTGTGTGTGTATATAATACATGTTTTATTATGTCACTGATTTCATTATAAATAGACACTACCGTTCAAAGTAATTATGTTTATAAAAGAAACTTTAAACTTGAATAAACTTGCATCTAGAAAGTTTAAAGCAAAGCCATTGAGTCATTTATTTTTGAGAAACAGAATGGGAATATAGCATTCATTTGAAAAATATTTCAAATGAATGATAAAAGTATCTATATCTTTCAAAAACAAAAAATTACAAACTTCTGAACTGTTCTGCATATGATATTTCATATATAAAGATAGATAAAGTTACAAAGGGACAGTGAATATTAAAGACACTTTGTCTTTATTAAGACGCGCTTTGCAAAGCAGTGATTTCCCATTTTTGCACATTTAATATGCATTTAGATTAAAAAATATGTATATATTAGTCCAGTTAGTAAATGCAATTAACAGATACTCAGACATAATAAAACCATCAGCCTCTTCAAACTGCAACAGTAAACATTTAACAGTAAACAGTAAATCCAAATTTGTTCTTAAGCTTTGTTTTAGACAGACAATAAACATGAATATGTCAGAACAATAATAACTTAAATATTAAGCATTTCCCTGCTGGCCGTGTTATTTACAACATAATATTCAAATATTCACTGAGCTATAGTTTCATTAAAAATAGGAGAAAGATACAAATTGAAACTTCAGAGGGAAATTAGGAAATTAAACACTAAATGTACTGCGCAAAGGACAAAACTAATATGAATCCCATTATCAAAGACTACGTACTTTATATAAAGGACTATTTACATTAAGATCATATTTTACAAAATGGTACCACAAAAAAAAACACTTTTCATCATGGGAATATTCTTGATTCTGTTAGGTCTGAAATACGTTGAAAGTAAAACTAACTTGCTGTTAACATCTACACAGTTGGCTTTGCAGACTATCAGTAACCGTTACCCATAATAGCCTTCACTAACCAGTTCTCTCAGTGTAAAGAAGCTAGAGGTGAAGTGCAGCATGAAACTAGTATCGGCAGATTATTAATAGTCTGTGTGAACAGGGAACCGCTGTGCCCACCGCATCAGTATGACAAAGAAAAAAAAGGAACAGACTATTAAAGTGATAGTTCACCCAAAAATGAAGATTAACAGTTGACCAAACAAAACCAAACAGTTGACAGTAGCCATGGACGTCCATAGTAATTTCCCCCCCCATACTATTGACTAGAAGTCAATGGCTACCATCCACTGTTTGGTTACCAACATTCGTCAAAATATATTTGCTCAACAAAATGTAATATGCTCAACAGAAGACGGAATCTCATACAAGTTTGGAACAACTTAAATGACAGTAAATGACAGAATTTTTATTTTTGGGTGAACTATCCATTTAAATACTGTGTTTGCATGATTATGTGGCTTTTCACAGTGCTACCATGTGCAAATATTTTTTAGACTAGGCTGGCAGAAAATTAAGTAGCTTCAACACTGAAAACTTGTTACAACTAGAAGTTGTAACTTCTACACTACCGTTTTTTTAAAAAGAAATTAATACTTTTATGTAGCAAGGATGCATTATATTAATCAAAGGTGACAGTAAAGACATTTAGAATTTATATTTCAGTTATTTTGAACTTTCTATTCATCAAAGAGTCCTGAAAATAAATTGTATCGTGTTTCAACAAAAATATTAAGCAGAACAACTGTCGTCAACATTCATATCAAATAATAATACCAATCACTTTTAAACATATTCAAATAGAAAAGTTATTTTTAATTGTAACACCATTCCACAATATCACAGTTTTTACTGTATTTTTGATCAATTAAATGCAGCCTTGGTTCAAAAACACTTAAAAAGTCTTACCAAAACCAAATGTTTGAACGGTAGTGTATTTGTGAAAATTTTAAATAGTAATGTGGATATTTTTAAAATTAGATAATCATTAATCATTCAGAACCGAGTGCCAACAAAACTGAAGACAAACGGTAAACTCTAGCCTGCAATTTATACAACAGACATGGATCAGGAAATATATAGCCATGTTGTTCATTGCTATTCACATGCTATATATTCAGTTTTAAACTGGGATTATCAACCTTTATATATTACAAGTGTAAGGTGCTGTAATTTTGTTTATTTAGCCATTTATTTTACCCGACTGAAAAATGTGTCTGAAGAAACACACTTGTCTCTCTGTCTGTTTTAAAAAAAATTAATTGATAAAAAAAAATATTTGGGGCGGAAGTCAGGCTCTTTTGGCTCCCAAATGGCTCTTCATTTAGGATCACTTGGAGCCTTCTATTTTAGCCCAATTTAGCAATTGTGAATTGTTTGTGTGTTGGTAAGCAATTTTTTATTCAGTGTTTTTATAATAGCCTTATTTTTTATGTATTTTTTTCGTTACAAAAAAAATTTGTTACTATTATTTATAATTTTAATAAAACTTTAATTGAACACAGAACCACAGCAAACAAATCAAATAAATAAAGGCAAAAGTCTTAACATTAAGACATTTTAGTCTTTAGTGCAGGTTGGCATTCAGAAATATCAGATGCCTCAGCTTGGATGTGCTGATGCGATTTCTCATCTCTGGGATTATTTGTCCTGTTTTTGAGAAGACTCTCTCTGAGGGGACCGATATTGCAACAATGCAGTGTCTTCCTACCTTAACCAACGTGCTTGCGTTTAAATCCGGATCCCCCGCCTTTCTGTGTACCTGGCCTTTACCACTACACTTGCTGTCACAATTGCTAAATTGGGCTAAAATAGAAGGCTTCGGCTGAAGATTCGGCTCTCCCCGACGGGAGCCGGCTCTTCTCGTTCACTACAAAGAATCGGCTCTTAGAGCCGGCTCGTTCACGAACGACACATCACTAATATTCAGGTTGGCTGAGATGGCTTTGAAGGGCTTTTGAAGAGAATTTGTGTGGTTAAAGGGGCCGGTGGTCTAATTCAGTTTGGCCCAAGTTAGCAAAATGGCTGCACAACACCTTTAAAGTGGGGAAACTGGGACTTCTGATTAAAACATACAAGAACAACCTTTAAAAGCACTCTGGTATCTCTCCTTGGTAGCCACTTGCTAGAATTTTTTTTAACATGAGTGATGTCCCTTAATTTTCAACTCCTTTTTACACAAAAAAAGTTGCAGTGCAAAATTCAGCATACAACATGTCCCCCTTCAACAAACGTGTTAAAAGTGTAAAACGCTAACTTATCTAATAGTGGTTATGTGCAGATGTAATTTATGGGGGTTTGAATCTATCTTAAAGTGCCAAATATAACTAAATATATGGAATAAGAAACACAGAAAGCCTTAAGTGAGATCGGTCAACTAAAGCAAGCTAAAACCACACTATAGCATCAGGTATGCTAACCCGGCTAGCAAATTTAGCAAGTTTCTTCACAAAAAAAAAAAGTAGCATGTACAAATTTAGCTCAAAGTTTTTACTAAATTTAGAGAGAAAATGGTTTGTCTTCCTACCAACAACACACAGGCCTGCAGTATCATCATCTAGAGCAGGAGTTATCAACTCTGGCCCTTAAGGTCCACTTTCTTGCAGAGTTTAGCTCCAACCTTGATCAAACTCACCTGCCTGTAACGTCTAGTAATCCTGAAGAATTGATTAGACTGTTCAGGTGTGTTTTATTAGGGTTGGAGCTAAACTCTGCAGGAAAGTGGACCTTGAGGGCTTCTTGAGAAACCCTGATCTAGAGCAGGATTGCCCAGTCCTGTTCCTTGCGATCTGTCTTTCTGTAAAGTCCAGCTCCAACCCTGATCAAACACACCTGAATGAGCTAATTAAGATCTTCAGGAGCTCTTGATAATTACAGACAGGTGTGTTGGAGCAGGGCTAGAACTAAACTCTCCAGGAACAGGATTGGGCGGCACCCCTGATCTAGAGGCTACATTACCAAAAAACTGTAAAGCCCAAAGTATACTTCGGCTGCACGCTTTACAGTCCACATGATGCAATTTTCATCATCAGAAATATCCGCGGACATCCACGCAGCCCAATTTTTGTGTCCGCACGGACAGTCCACGTACAACCCTAATCAAACACAACTGAGCAAGCTCATCAAGGTCTTCAGGATCCCTAGAAAATCACAGGCAAGTGTGTTTGATCAGGGTTTGAGCTAAACTCTGCAGGGCAGTGGCCCTCCAGGACCGGATTTGAGGAACCCTGCTGTAGAGGCTATACAGCTACATTACCAAATCTTTAAAGCCCAAAGTATACTGGGGACGTCCACGCACATCGTTTGCGTGTAGCCCAATTTTTTTTTTCTGTACAGACGGTCCACGTACAACAGTGCAGGCAGGTAAATGTTGTGCCAGAACAAGTCCACTAGGTGATACTCCGCATGTGTCAAATTCATCCATCCGCGGTTCCGTATACTTGGGACACGGCTGTGTGCAAGACAGAGCGGAACGCAGAAAGAGAAGTATACCCGGGCCTTAAGGCATCATAGTCTTTCGAGGTTTCTTAGAGATTTGAACATGGTTGAGGATAAGAATTGCGTTTGATCATTTGCATACAGTCATTTGCATACTGTAAAATTTCATTTTCAGCATAGATCAATCATCCCTACAGGTTCCTTCCACCAACACTTACCATTACAAGCTTAATCTGTTTCTTTTATTAAGATCTTTAAGATTTGTGGCTTCCTTCAAGAACTGGTCCGCTTTCCTGAGCTTCTCCATTGCTGCAGAGAGCAAGACCTCTGGGCTCGCGTCCCCCTTCATTTCCGTCTCACCACTCTGTCCGGTCGCGATTGCGTTCAGCAGCTCTCCAGTCTCTTTGATCTCAGAAGACACTTTGCTTTGCAAGTCCTTTACGTCACTTCCGTGTGGATTAATTGGTATATTTTTCCCCTTGCTTTCCATCTTATCTGCATTCTCCACAAGAAGGTCGCCTAGGGATGTGGAGCGGGCCTTGGAAGAATGATTGAGAGGCATGGACAGGGACAAGTTGGCGCATTGGCTTGGGGTTGGATTTGCATTGAGAACTGAGGTCTTTGAGGTGGTGGATGGGGTTTCTAACAATGGCTCCTCCAAACTCTCGGCTTTGCTGTCAGAAGGTTCTAGATCATCCTCGCTGGCCTCTAAATCTAGTCCCTGGGAGCTACCTTTGAGCTTTGCGGAGGATGGCGTAACGTGGTCACCCGTTTCAGACTCCTCTCCTGAGTGCTGACCACTGTCTAAAGACTTCTCCTCCAAATCTTCACTTGACACATCACCAATTGGCTCAGGATTGGGTTCTGGAATAGCCAATTTGATGTCAACTGTTTCTGAAGATGAAACGACGGAGTGGGTAACGACCATTGGGTCACTTTTTGCGGCAGTGTCCTCTTTCTTGGCAGATGCCTTAAATGGCTTCTTCTTGGGTGGAGCAGGGGGCCCGGGTCTCTTTTTTACAGATTCAGGGGTTGAAAGTGGAGTAAGATTAAGTTGGGAAGGTTCTAGTGAGGTTGCAACTTCTCCAGTGGTATCAGAGGCTTTCTTTGAGTTTTGCACTTCTTGTTCAGCACTAGGTTCTTTTGATGGTATAATGGGTGAATCCCACATCACTACTTGTGGTTTCATTACCTTTTTGGATAGAACAATGGTCTCTACCTCTTCTAACTTATCCAGGTCTACTTTCTCATTTGAAGCTCCATCTACCATGGTACCTTCGCCATCAGCCTCCTTATTCTTCTCTTTTTCCTCTATTGTGACTGTGGCTGGTGTTACCGGGTTGGGCTTAATATGTTTGGATGGAGGAGTAGGGGGCTGGACGCTCTTGGTGGAAGGGGTTGGTTCGGAAGAGTCAGTGCTTTCTGCTTCAACCTCTACTTTACTATCTGAGATATTCTTCTCAACAGCAGCCCCATCAACAGAGACGCAAGGTTTAGACTCCTTTGATGGAGGCATCGGTGGTGCCTTCTTTTGAGCTGCAGGTTCCTCATTTTTGGGCTCATCCTCTTTATGAGTTTCACTGGGTTTGTTGTCTTTTGATGGTGGCATGGGCGGATTAATAACTTTCTTCTGGGGTGTGGACTCTTCATCAGTGTCCTCCTCTGGAATGTTGTTCATCGCCTCAGATGGTTTAGAAGTTTCGGTTTGTTTATCCCCTTCTGTTTTAAAGCCATGAGTTCCATTCTGCATGGTAACTTCACCATCAAGGTCTAGTCTCAACATTCCATCACTTGAAACATTTGCAACCTGTAAGAATAAACAGAATATTACATTTAGAGGATATGTCTGGCTAATTGTGGTTAGTGATTTAAAGTATGCATTAAATTGATCAAAAGTGACAGTGGAGACTTTTACATCGCTACAAAGGATTTCTATTTCAAATAAATGCTGTGCTTTTGAACTTTCTATTCATCAAAGATTTCTATAAAAATATATTAATCAGCACAACTGTTTTCAAAATGTATAATAATAAGAAATGTTTTTTTGAGCCACAAATCAGCATATTAGAATTATTTCTGAAGGATCATGTGACACTGAAGTATGGAGTAATAATGCTGAAATTTCAGCTTCATCACAGAAATTTTTTTTTAAATATACTAAAACAGAAAAGAGTTCATTTAAATTGTAATAATATTACACAATATCATTGTTTTACTGTATTTTTATCTAATACATTCGCATGATAGACCGGTGTACAAAAACATAATCTCAACATTGCATATTTAATATTTTCTTTACTAGCTTTTCCATCATCGGAACACTCCTTTAAAAGTTCATATTTATAACTCTAATCTCTTAAATGTAATATTTGGCAAATCTCAAAATGAATATCCATTTGGATATCTATTTTCATATTGTACATTATAAAGTTGTGATGGCTAAATTCAATTAAAATGCATTTATTTATTTATCAAAAGTATTTATTTCAGTTATTTATTTATTACATTATTATAAAATGTTAATATCAGTATTGGTCAGAAATGTATCTGTGCATTCCTAGTTGTTCTCCAGCTGGGGTGATAAATGTTAAAATACTTTTTTTGTCCATGTGAACTGATTATATCATACCTCCTTCATGTGTATCCTTGTTGGTGGCCTTCTTCCACGGTTCCCCTTTGGTCGGTTCCGTGTAACATGTTCTAAAGAGCAGCTTTCATCGACTTTTACCTGAGATTTAAAACATAAACAAAAATAAGTTTCTGTAACTGTATCTATGTTCATTCATGCAACACCATATTTATTCAGGAAGATCACAGAGAAAGGATTAGTACATGCTGTTCTTTTTTTTTTTTTTCACATATGGCCATTGTAAATGTTTTTATTTTCAGTCATGGTTCTATTTATGTGTGTGTCTTTAAAAATCACAGTAAAATTTTACAGGTGAACAATAAATGGTACCTCATCAAAAATTTTGTTCTTTGCCTTATTGATTCCTTCACTCAGTGCCTTGATCCAGGCCTCTTTCTCCTCAGGGGTTTGTGCCTGAAGTTTGACATCTTGGACCTAAAACGAACACAACACATTTATATGAAGTCAAAGAAACTAGTATGACATGCATACACATGAATAAAACATTGAAAAAATGACCGATTCAGTTGCACATGCTAATCCTATTTTGCTTTTCTGTACGAAATAAAATTAGGAAATAACCAGAGCTGGATCAAGCGTCTAGTATTATGTTGGATCACATCGCATTACCCGCCAGACCACATTTTAACAATTACATTCAGTACTGTATAAAGGTTTTATTAAAGATCCAGTTTCTGTTTTGCAGTGAACATCCCTGATGATTGGAAACATCATCAAAATGAAACAGGAAAATACAAAGTGATTTGTCCGTAGGATGTCCCATTGTTCAGTTAGGTTTATATAAAGTGTGTCTAGCATCCTGTATATTGCCAGACTCAGCATGAGTCTCCTAAGTGCACTTCACCCTTAAAAAATAAGAAAAAAGAAAGAAAAGATTTATGTTCTAGAGTGTAGCGTGTGTCACAAAAATATTTGTGAAACAGGAGGGTTTGGAATCTCTTAAATCTTTAAACTCTTTTCAAGAACTACAGTATGTGAGGTTTAGTTATAAAATGAAACACTAGGCTGTGGTGTCTGACTCATACAGCTGGCTGGTCACAGTATTCAGGAGAGGAAAAAGTGACATGCTGGTCTGGCTGCTCTTTACACACACATTTTCTCTTCGAGAGAAGTCTCTTGACATCTGCTGAGCTCTTTGCAGTTCGCCAACGCTCCGCTCTCGTCATCTGTTAGTAATAATGCATATTTCGCCTGTTAGGTATCTTCCGAATTTCTTAAGTCCTCTCCCTACCTCCAAGACTCTGGATTCAATGTTATAGTGTACAATAAACAATGTATTCAGTAGGTATAGAAAATAATCATCCCCCTTTAAAATAATCACATTTTGTTGCTTTGCAGCCTGAAATGAAGACATAGTTTTTGTTTTATCCAGCTGCATTTACTCAGTGCAACTTATAACATCCAAGTGAAAGATATAACCCCAACATGTCAGAAAAAAATACAAACAGAATCACTGAGTTGGAAAAAGGATCACCCCCCCCTAAAAATGACTCAATCAGGTTTAGCTAATCACCTTCTCAATGGCACACAAAGCCATTTGACTTTCAACTGTGATCAGCTGTGGTCATTTTGATCAGCTCAGCATGAAAAGAGCTTTCCTGGAGCATTTCAGTCCTTGGTAGTGCAACTGAAGCAAACAATCAACTATGGATGGCAAGGCACTGTCAAAAGATCTCCGGGATAAAGTTGTGGACAGGCACAAGTCAGGAGATGGATACAAAAAAA